CAGAATAAAGGAGAGTGCTAAGCAGAATGTTTCGTGTGACTCAGGACTCTCTAGACCTTGCCTTTCACTTAAGGGGTGAGGGTTGGAGGGAGGCTTCCAGACAGCAGCATTAGTAACACCTGGAGCTTATTAAAAATGGAGACTTCAGTCCTACTGAAGGCTTGCTGAATCATAATCTGCATTTTCTTTTTTACTTGTTTGTATTTATTTGAAAAGGTGGGAGAGAGAGAGAGATGCAGATAGAAACAGAGATCTCCATCAGCTGGTTCACTCCCCCAAATGCCTACACAGCTGGGGCTGGGCCAAGCCAATGCCAGGAACCAGCAGATCCATCCGGGTCTCCCATATATATATATATATATATATACATATATATATATATATATTTGACAGGCAGAGTGGACAGTGAGACAGAGAGAGACAGAGGGAAAGGTCTTCCTTTTTCCATTGGTTCACCCCGCAATGGCCACTGCGGCTGGCACACTGTGCTAATCCAAAGCCAGGTGCTTCTCCTGGTCTCCCATGAGGGTGCAGGGCCCAAGGACCTGGGCCATCCTCCACTGCACTCCAGGGCCACAGCAGAGAGCTGGACTGGAAGTGGAGTAACCGGGACTAGAACCCGGGGTGCCGGTGCCGGCGCCGCAGGCGGAGGATTAGCCTAGTGAGCTGCGGCACCGGCCTCCCATATGGTTTTAACCAGATCACTCATTACAAAGTGAAGCACTGCCCTGGTCTACAGCAGTTGTTCTCTGCTCTGGGTACACATAAAAGTCACCTGTGAGTTTTGACAATCCCGGTGTCCAGGTGGGACCTAGACACCTGTATTGTGAAAGCTGCCAGGTGATGCCAGGCACAGCTCAAGCTGTGTAAGGCCATAGATGGGCCATGTTGTTTACTAGAAAGTGCAGTTCAAGAAACCATGAATATTGTTTGTGTATAAATAACAAGTTACTAGCCCTTGCCACAGACCTCTTTCAGAAGACTGAGTTATGTTGGCTCCTTTTCAGTACACTTGGCCCAGCCTTCTCAATCCCAGCTGTGTCATGTTTCACTGCCAGAGGTTATGGTTTCTGAACAAGGATGCAGTCTAGGTGTGGCAGAAGTCAGTTTTTTATGTAAAAGCTCAGAGATGGTAGGAATGTGTGTATTTCTCCATTGAAATGTCAAGGCAGGAAGTTAAAGAGGCAACCAACAGAATGGGAAAAAATATTTGCAAACTATGCTACAGAAAAAGGATTAATAACCAGACTCTACAATGAGATCAAGAAACTCCACAACAACAAAACAAACAACCCACTTAAGAGATGGGCCAAGGACCTCAGTAGACATTTTTCAAAAGTGGAAATCCAAATGGCCAACAGGCACATGAAAAAATGTTCAGGATCACCAGCAATCAGGGAAATGCAAATCAAAACCACAATGAGGTTTCACCTCACCCCAGTTAGAATGGCTCACATTCAGAAATCTACCAACAATAGATGCTGGAGAGCATGTGGGGAAAAAGGGACACTAACCCACTGTTGGTGGGAATGCAAACTGGTTAAGCCTCTATGGAAGTCAGTCTGGAGATTCCTCAATAACCTGAATATAACCCTACCATACAACCCAGCCATCCCACTCCTTGGAATTTACCCAAAGGATATTAAATTGGCAAACCAAAAAGCTGTCTGCACCTTAATGTTTATTGCAGCTCAATTAACAATAGCCAAGACCTGGAACCAACCCAAATGCCCATCAACAGTAGACTGGATAAAGAAATTATGGGACATGTACTCTATAGAATACCATATAGTAGTCAAAAACAATGAAACGCGGTCATTTGCAACAAGATGGAGGAATCTGGAAAACATCATGCTGAGTGAATTAAGCCAGTCCCAAAGGGACAAATATCATATGTTCTCCCTGATCGGCGATAACTAACTGAGCACCAAAAAGGAAACCTGCTGAAGTGAAATGGACACTATGAGAAACAGTGACTTGATCAGCCCTTGTCCTGACTGTTGATGTACAATTTAATACTTTATCCCTTTTAGTATTTTTTTTGTTCTAGTTAATACTATTGGTTGAACTCTGTAATCAACACACATTTATTCTTAGGTGTTGAAAATTAACTGAAAAGTGATCCCTGTTAAATATAAGAGTGGGAATAAGAGAGGGAGGAGATGTACAATTTGGGACATGCTCAATTGGACTTGCCCCAAATGGTGGAGTTAGAAATGTGCCAGGGGATTCCAATACAATCCCATCAAGATTGCATGTACCAATGCCATGTCACTAATCCAAGTGATCAATTTCAATTCACAATGGATCACACTGATAGGTCTAAGAGTCAAAGGGATCACACAAACAAGACTAGTGTCTGCTAATACTAACTGATAGAATCAAAAAGGGAGAGAATGATCCAACATGGGAAGTGGGATACACAGCAGACTCATAAAATGGCAAGTGCCCTAAACAGCACTCTGGCCTCAGAATCAGCCCTTAAGGCATTCAGATCTGACTGAAGAGCCCATGAGAGTATTTTAGGCATGGAAAGCCAAGACACTCTGGCGGATAAAAAAAAAGAAAAAGAAGGAGAATATAGGGGAGTGAATGTGACGGGGGACTCTAAATGAAAGGTCTCTGCGAGTGAGATCCCAGTAGAGAGAACGGGCCATCAAAGAAGGAGGTACCTTTCTCTGAAGGGAGGAAAGGACTTCCACTTTGACTATGACCTTGTCTAAATAAGATCAAAGTCAGCGAACTCAAGAGGCTTCCATAGCCTTGGCAACTCATGACGAGAGCCTAGGGAGATTTCTGACGCCATAAATGAGAGTGTCAAATTGTTAAGTCAACAACAGGAATCACTGTGTACTTACTCCTTATGTGGGATCTCTGTCCTTAATGTGAAGTAATGCTATAACTAGTACTGAAACAGTATTTTACACTTTGTATTCTGTGTGGTTGCAAACTGATGAAATTTTTACTTATTATATACTAAATCAATCTTCTGTATATAAAGATAATTGAAAATGAATCTTGATGTGAATGGAATGTGAGAGGGAGCAGGAGATGGGAGGGGTGCGGGTGGGAGGGAAGTTATGGGGGGAAGCCATTGTAATCCATAAACTGTACTTTGGAAAATTATATTTACTAAATAAAAGTTAAAAAAAAAAAAAAGAAATGTCAAGGCAGGAAGTTAGTGCTTATAACCACACCTTAAGGGTACAAAGCTTGTTCTTTAAACTTAGAAGTCCAAAGACCTTATACTAGATGCTAAGTGTTTCCTTGACTGATAGCATCTCATTTTCTAATAATTAAACATTAATTTTGTATACTAACATTTTAGTGAAATACTTTGGAAACTTCAATGATTTCTTCAGTATCTGTGAAAAACTGTCCCTTTTTAGCATTATTTGCAGATGATTTGTCCTTTTAATGTAAAGTTCACCAATGATGTCTGTCATTTGGGAGGCTGAAGAAAGCACAGAACTTCTCAGTCTCATAGATTTTCAGATACTTAGCTTTCACAGTAAAGTTCATTGGAAGAAGTGACAGAGTATACATGCGTGTAACATAGTGCCTGAGCATGGAGAGCAGACACTTATGAAATGGTATCTTTCCCTTTATATTAAACTTCCACATTCAACCATGCAGTCCTATGCTGCAATGATCCTGTAATAGTGAGTTTCCTAGCAGATAGCAATAATGAACATGCATGCCCTTCAGAGACTATAAATATTCTTCTAAATAGTAAATTCCAAGGTGTGAAGTTGGTGAAGTTTAGTTTTGTTCCATTTTACCCTGGGTCATACAACTACTTTTTCCATTCCAAATGTTATGCTGAGAACTTAGCCTCATCACATCACAACACTGCATTATGCATGCATCTCAGATCAAGCCAAAGAAGTTTTAAATACCAACCACTTGTATGTTGGTATCTAGTGAATGGTAATTTGATGAGTGGCTTATCTTGTTTCAATATTATGCTACATCTAACATTAAACGAACCAACTTGAAATATGAATACATTGAATTTTGAATGTAGGAGCATACCTCAAAAAGTTCATGGGAAGCAGAATTAAAAGATAAGTGTATTTTGGTGCAGAAATTTTTGAAATCCATGCATGTGAAGAGTCCTCAAAATGTTCACAGAAAATGCTCATAAAAAAAAACTATGCGCCGAAATTAACTAATCTTTTAATTCTATTTTGTCACAGACTTTGGTGTTTTGTGTCTTATGTACTCCTCTGGCTGTAAAAATGAGATTTAGAACAAATGACAGAATACTGGAACTCATCAAGAATGCCCCCAGGTTCTTCCATCTCAGTCTCCCCTGCAGGACACAGAGCGCACCTGTCCCCTCTCTGAGCGACTCCTGCCCTAGCGGTGCCTTCCTCGGAATGACTTCACGCTTTCTGTCGGTTTCACACAGCTTAGCACAGAGTAATAGACAAGTTCACAGGCTGTAGTTGTTTCTTTAGTGGCAACCTTGCTGTCCTGAGAAAGATGGAATCTTCCTTTGGCAGCTCTTGCATGCCCTCCAACACTTTAAGTGTAGGACACCAGAGAGAGACTGTCTAATAAATACACTATATTCTTTATCATTTCATCCTATCCATTTCATCTTTGGACTTATTTTCCTTTGCAATATTTTTGAGAAGTGTGGGTTTATCCCATGATCATCAATACAGAATGTTTTGCTTGTACTAAATCATTTGCTTTATTCAAAAATTAATTTCAAAACTTATACAACATCAAAATATCAAAGTATTTCTGTCTGAATCATTTAAGCTCCTAGCTCTTGCTCTGTATCCTCTCACAAAGAACCGAACTTTGATGATAGATTTCTTTTTCCTTTTCTTTTTGGCTTGATGTCTCTTTTATTTCAAGTATGAATTATCTAACATGCTTGCTGAAAGAGGTTTTCTTTCATCTTGGTTGGTTTTTATTCTCATCTATTAAGTAATTTTCACTAATATGAATCTTTAAACTTAAAATGTATTCTTTTTTATCACTAGCGTTATTATTACAACAGTACTGTACCTCTCTGATGCACTTCGTAAGAATTTCTTAAATGAAAACTTTGATTATAAGGTAAGTGTTCCTTTAGATGGCTGACCTACTTGGGCTAAAATATTTGCTTTGTATTTTAGGAAATTGCCTACTGTATTTTCTTGGTATACTTTACTTTTACTTATGAATAGTTGATGTTATATTAATTATATTATAGTCTATGAACGATATATGATGATTGCTTCACTTATCAACTTGGCGGCAAACATTGTGCTTATAAGGAAATAGATCTTTGTTACTATAAATTTCAAATAATTAGAAAGTATTATAAAACCAATGGGATTTTAATGATTTTATGTTTCTCTATCTTGTATCTTATAACAATACATCAAATTTTCATATCATAGCTCTACTTTTTGATACTTGACCTGTTCCTATTATCTATCTCTTACAAATAGCTCTTCTTCTGGGCATTCTTACAAAATTAAACCTGGACTACCTCTCTAATTATTTCCTTGGTTAAATATTTATTAGTGGCCGGCGCCACGGCTCACTAGGCTAATCCTCCGCCTGCGGTGCCGGCACACCGGATTCTAGTCCCGGTCGGGGCGCCGGAATCTGTCCCAGTTACCCCTCTTCCAGGCCAGCTCTCTGCTGTGGCCCGGGAGGGCAGTGGAGGATGGCCCAAGTGCTTGGGCCCTGCACCCCCGCATGGGAGACCAGGAGAAGTACCTGGCTTCGGGCTTCAGATCAACGCGGTGCGCTGGCCACAGTGCACCGGCCGCAGCGGCCATTTGAGGGTGAACCAACAGCAAAGGAAGACCTTTCTCTCTGTCTCTCTCTCTCTCACTGTCCACTCTGCCTGTCAAAAAAAAATATTTATTAGTGAAATTATTGAGTTAAAGGTTTTACCAATTATATTGACTGCCTTTTATCTTATATCATACTATTCTAACTGTAGATGCTACATTGCATCTCTAGTATACTAACACTTTTTTGACAACTAAAGAGAAAAATCTTCTTTGTTTTAATTTTTGTTTCTAATTATTAATTACTGACTAAATAGCAGATATTAACTAAAACTCTTATTTTGTGAATTATCTTGTCTTTTGTTCATTATTTTGCTTGGGGCTTTATTATTTTCTTTTTTGTGTGAAAAGTCTTTATAACAGATATTTAACTCTTCGTCCTATTCTTTTTTTATTTGTCTTTAATTTTACTAAGTGTCAATAGAGCGGCTGTTTCTTTCCACATGGTTTGGGGGGGGGGTTGTTTTGGTGACTTTTCTTTCTTTTTTACTAACTTTATTTCAGCGAATTTTATTCTGATCTCATTCTGATTCTGTTTTTAGTATAAGCAAACTTAGACTGATGAGGTTTGTCCGGGCAGGGAATTTTTATAGATTTTCTGAATTTAAGGCAATTAGCATATTCAAAGAAGTCTATGATTTTTTTTAAGTTCTTCAGTAAAAGGAGTTCCAGAAATGAATTCAAACAGGAATAAAGTAATCCATCTTATACTCCAACCTGTTTAAAGATGCCCAGACATATAAGAGAAACAAAACATCTACCCTTTAGAATGTACCAGAGTTCATGAAACCTGAGATACAGCTTTGAAGCAACACATAAATGGTATTTAGTTATGGTACTTTTTTGTCAAGAAAATAATCAAGGGGCCTGTGCTGTGGTGCAGCAGGTTAAGCCACTGTCTGCAGTGTTAGCATCCCATCTGGGCGCTGGTTCAAATTCCGGCTGCACCACTTCTAATCCAGCTCCCTGCTAAAGCACCTGGGAAAGCCGCAGAAGATAACCCAAGTCCTTGGAACACTGCACCTACATGGGAGACCTGGCTCCTGGCCCCTGGCTTCAGCCTGGCCCAGCCCTGGCCATTGCAACCCTTTGGGGAGTGAACCAGTGGATGGAAGATATCTGTCCCTGTCTCTCCATCTCTTTCTGTATCTCTTCCTTTTAAGTAGATAAAATAAATATTTAAAAAAAAGAAAGGAAGGAAGGAAGGAAGGAAGGAAAAAATCAAGCGGATACTGTGTAAAAGGAGAGAGAATAGGGGTCAAATCTGTGTCCTAGCAGGTTAAGCTGCCACCTGCAGTACTGGCATGCCATAAGAGTGCAGGTTCGAGTCCCAACTCTCCACTTCCAATCCAGCTCCCTGCTAATGTGCCTGGGAAGACAGCAGAAGATGGCCCAAGTGCTTGGGCCCCTGCACCTACATGGGAGACCTGGAAGAAGCTCCTGGGCTCCTAGCTTCAGCCTGGCCCAGCCCCAGCCATTGCAACCAATTGAGAAGTGAACCAGCTGATGGAAGGACCTCTCTCTCTGTCTACTCCGCCCCTGTAACTCTGTCTTTCAAATAAATAATATAAATCTTTCTATAAAATGGAGAATAGTATAAAAAACCCCATACACCAATATTCAGCTTTGACTCTTTACCAACTCATGGCCAGTCTTATTTCAACTGTACATACTCCCATCCACTTAATCACTTTTGAAGCAAATCCAAGATATCATGTTACTTCACTTGTTAATATTTTTGTACCACCATAGTATTTAAGTATCTTGCTCTTGTAGTGAGTGTTTGGCACTGTGGTTAAGATGCCGTTTCGGATGCCTCCATTCCACATTGGAGTATCTGGTTTGAGTCCCAGCTCCGCTGCTTCCTTTATAGCCCTGTACAGCTGCACCCTGGAGGGCAGCAGATGATGGCTCAAGTCCTTGGGTCCCTGCCCACACACATGGGAGACCCAGACTGAGTTCTAGACTACTGGCTTTGGCGTGACCCAACCCTAGTTATCACGGACATTTGGAGAGTGAACCAACAGATACATGATTTCTCTGCCTGTCTTTATCTCAAACAAAATGAAAATAAGTAAATAAATGTCTTGTTGTTTTAGATCTGGGATTCCTACTTTTATCTCGCCGTCATTTTTATAAACCAGTTATGTCTACAACTGGAGATGTTCACACCTTCCAAAAAGAAAAAGGTGCTAGAAAAGTAAGTACCAATGTATAATCAGCTGGTAAATGTTGCCTTTCAAATGATATTGATTTCAAATGATTCATGAATCAAATGTCTGTAACTGGAAATCACACAGTAGAGAAGCAATGACCCAGAGGACAAGAAGCAGTCTTTTCTGAAACTGTTAATATTTTGACCTTATTTTCATATTTTCTTTTTCCCTGAATCTTTCAAGATTCAGAATTATTATAGTGGAAAAAAAAAACTATGTTTTAGGAAAGATTTATATAAGGCTTTGATTTAGAGGCACCAAGACATATATTAAGCATCTTTAATTAAAAACATCTTGCCTTTTGATTCAGAATGATGGCTTGTGTCCTAAAGAAACATAGCTGTATTCTAGAGGCTTTGTGTCAGGTTTGATTTTTTTTTTCTCTATTTCAGGTATGGTGACATGCGGGTCACAATGGGTTGTGAAATTTTCAGCATGTGGCAAAACCTAGGTAAGAGACGAGAAGAGAAGCCATTGCCATTGTGAAGCTTGTCACTGTACTTTTAAGTGTATAAATCAAGGACAGTTTACCAATGACAGTGCTGGAAACCAAATGTCTAAATCAATAAAGATATCTACAGAAAATAATTGGCACTTTGGCATTGAATAAGGTTACAACTAATTCTTTAAATTAGTTATCTGTCTGAAAAATCATCTTACCTTTGTGTGGTTCATTGTTGATTAATGATAGGTTTTTATAATCTAGCATAGCTCCAGCGATACACACACTATTTCCAGTAATGAGGTAGATGTTCCCACTTTGGGACTGTAACAAGTCAAAATTTCTAGAACTCTGAATTGAGACTATGAATCATAACACATTCAGATTAAACTTCATGAAACATTGACTTGAGTATCACTACTCTTAAATACTGGAAGTGACTGACCTATATCATAAAGAGATCATCAAAAGATTTTAAAAGCATCTTCAGTTGCTAAGAGACTGTTAGATCCAATTTTGTTAGTCTGCCCGAGCAGAGGAAGCACTGTGTTCTAGCAAACTGATAACATAGATCTGCTTGAACAGAAAAGGATAACACTTGGAAAAAATAAATTGTTTAAAATGCATTAGTAAAATGTCTCTTGCTATAGATTCATAGTTTAATTTTGTATGTTAGCTATGCAAGGTATTGGTGTTCTTTTACTATGACTGCATTTTAATTTGTCCTTGTGATTTATTAAAATGATGGACTGATTTGACTTGAATGTATAATGATCTGAAAGTATCTTCTCTTGGACCCATCCAACTTGGAGACAGCAGTATTTGTTTTCTTGGAGTAAAAAGAACAACTGTCATTATATTACATTCATGGTACAGAATGATTTTCTTTGACCAGGGTCCCTCAAATATATGTATCAATTTGAGGGAGCTTTGTTATATACAAGGGATGAGCTCAGTGTGCAAAGCTTTTTGGTGATTTCAGAAAAAATCAAGTTAGCATCTCAAAAATGGCATCTAGTAGAAACCATTTTCTGCCTTTTGGTTCATCTCAAAAATAGTATCAAACATTCATCTCACTTGAAGAAGAAATGCTTCTCTAAATCTTCACGATGCCTTGATTCTCTATGTCCTTGTTTTCTTCAAAAATACACCAAGGCCCTTGTGGTGTCCATATTGCATTTGGCATTATTTCACCAGGTAGTGTCTGCCAAAGAATACTGCAGTGAAATTCTCTTTGGAGGCAGTTGCAGGCCCTTTTCAGAGCTCAAGCTATGAGAGTGGGATAGATCTGATTGGATGACCAGAGTGATGACAAACATGGCAGATTTCCTCTTCTCATCATTGCCTCATGTGCTTATTTCCATGCTCATCTGTATGCAAACCACAATATCTATCCACTTAGTAAGTATCCCAATATGGTGTCTTATTGTTAAGTTAAATTCCCTCACTCAGAGAAGTAATTTAACATAAAAATCAATAGGTAGAAATATTTTTGTTTTAGAACAAAAAAGAGAGAGGAAAATCTATGAAATAAATATGAACTATTTACAACACTGCCCCCTTTCTTTGTTGTCTCAACCCTAAACACGGGTTTAGCACAGTCCTAGGACTATGTTAGAAAAGGCTCATTATATCCAGTTATGGTTTCCCAGCATGACATAATTCAAGCATAGGGTAAGTGTAAATTTTCACTTCATTTCTTGGTTTCTGCTTTATTTCTCTGGAGTTTTGTCCTAACTTTTCAGTTAGGTTCAATACCCAGCTTGGGCTCCTGATTCTAGCTTCATGTTAATGAAGATCCTTGGAGCCAACGTTGATGGCTCAAGTAATTGGGATCCTGCAACCCACTTGGGAGACCTAGATTGAGTACCCAGCTCCTAGCCGGGTATGGCCAGACCTGGACATTGAGGGCTTTTGGGAAGTAAACCAGCAGATGGGTGTTCTCTTCCTTCTCTCAAATAAAATATTTTTTGAAACTTATCATATTTACCACTTTTCCTTGTACATATCAGTGTGATTAAGAACATTTGCCTTGTAATGCAACCACCCCCAACATCCATCTCCAGAATTCTTTTGATCTTCAAAACTGAGACTCTATGCCCATTAAAAACTAATTTCCCATCCTCCTCTCTCTGCCCCTGTCACCACCATTTTGATTTCTGTCTTTACAAATTTTACTATTCTAAGTACCTAACATAAAATCATATAATATTTGTGGTTTTTTTTTAAGATTTATTTCATTTATTTGAAAGTCAGAGTTACACAGAGAAGAGAGAGGGAGAGAGAGGGGGAGAGAGAGAGAGAGAGGTCTTCCATCCATTGGTTCACTCCCCAGATGCAACGGCCGGAGCTGCGCCAATCGAAAGCCGGTGAGCCAGGAGCTTCTTCTGGGTCTCCCATGCGGCTGCAGGGGTCCAAGCACTTGGGCCATCTTCTACTACTATCCTAGGCCATAGCAGAAAGCTGAATCGGAAGAGGAGAAGCCGGAACTAGAACCGGTGCCCATATGGGATGCCAGCGCTTTAGGCCAGGGCTTTAACCCACTGCACCACAGCGCCGGCCCCAATACCTGTGTTTTTGTGACTGCCTTATTTCTACTAGCAGAATATCCTTAAGAATCATCTGTGTTATAACATACATCAGAATTTTCTTCATTTTTAAGGCTGAATGATATTCCCTTGAGTAGACTACCACTTTTCTTTGTCCATGCATCTATCAATAGACACTTAGGTTACTTCCACTTTTGGCTGTTGTAAATAATGCTGTTGTGAGCATGGGTGTACAAATATCTCTTTGAGATCCTGCTTTCAATTCTTTGGGATATATACCCTGAAGTAGAATTACTGAATCATATGGTAATTCTATTTTTTAAAATATTTTTTCTGGTAGATTGTTTTATTTTATTTTGTTAATTTATTTTGAAGGAATATAAATTTCATAAGTATAACTTTAGGAATAGTTATTCTTCCCAGCATATCTGCCCTCCTACCAACAATCCATCCCACCTCCTCCTCCCTCTCCCATTGCCAGTCCCATTCTCCATTAAGATTCATTTTCGAGCCGGCGCCGCAGCTCAATAGGCTAATCCTCCGCCTAGCGGCACCAGCATTGTGGGGAGCAATCCGGACTAGACTGAGTTACTGGAATTAAGACTTATTCTATGCATCTGCTCTCCCACTGTGGGGAGCAAACCGGACTAGACTGAGTTACTGGAATTAAGACTTATTCTATGCATCTGCTCTCCCACAATATGGCGCTGGGAGAGAAGTAAACAGCTTCCGCACAGCTGCCTCCAGTTCAACCAATAAACTGTAGGACTTGCTACTGATTGGAGGAGAGCAGCGTACTCGGCGTGTGGGCAGCCGAGTTGGGATTGGCGGAGGAGGACTATAAAGGAGGAGAGAGACGGCATGCACCAGGAACATCTATGGGGAACATCTAAGGGAACCCGTGCAGCCCCCGAGAAAGCCGGCCGGCGGTGTGCCGCTCCCCTGCGGAAGTGGGGAATGTGGCCAGGGGGAACTGCCCTTCCACGGAGGTGGAAGGGATAGTAGCCAACCCGGGAAGAACCAGCAGCAAACCCGGGGAGGGCCGAGCAGACGAAAGAACAGCGCAGGGTCCTGTGTTGCTCCTCCACGAAGAGGGGGAGCGACATAGTGGTGCCGTGACTCGGATATGAAGCCTAGGCAGGGTCCTGTGTTGCTCCTCCATGAAGAGGGGGAGCGACATAATGGTGCCGTGACTCGGATAGGAAACCTAGCTCGGATAGGAAACCCAGGACGGATAGGAAACTTAGGAGGGAAGAAACGGGAAGAACTGGGAAAATACCGGAGAGAGAGACTAGCAAACAGCCTAGGGAAAAGCCGGACGAAAAAGGTGCCGGAAGAAGCTATTGAAAGCCTAGGCATAGACTCAGATACGGACTACGGGGGGAAGCTGGGAGAAATCTCTAAGGTCGAAAGCGAAAGTGAAAGCTAGAACAAACAGACTCGGATGCGGACTGTGGGGAGAAGCCAGGAGAAATGAGGGAGGAGTATTGTTGGAGGAAAGCATGGGGAAACATACCGGGTAGAGAAAAATGTTAGGGAAATTGAAGCCGCGGGGGGCAGGCCGAGGCTGAAACGAAAGCCACTTTGGGATTCTCAAGTTAGCCCGGGAATAGGGGGCGAAAAGTTGAAACCAGAAGCTGAAACGTAAGCCTGGTTGGGATCCGTCTGATTAGCCCGGGGAGCAAATGACGGGAAGCCAAACCGTGGGGCGGAGACGTAAGCTGGGTTGAATTCGCCAGGCTAGCCCGGGGAACTTAGATTGAATGCTAGTGGCGGACACGTAAGCTACGCTGTGTGACTCGCGGAGGCTGCCGTGCGCAGAGAGAGCGTGCGGGGCACAAGTAGATAGGGAACGCGGGGCTAAGTGCGAGACCGCGGAGTGTGCGCGCAAAGCCGAGCCGCGCAGATGAGAGAGACGCGGGCTGAAGCGGCTCAGAGCCGGAAAGCTGCCGAGAAGCAGCCTCGGGGCGGGCGCAGCCGGGAAGCCGCGGGGATAAGAGAAACAGAAGTTTATAAGTAAAATGAGAGAAATAGGAATGCTGGAAGATAGAAGTAAAATGGGAGAAATAGGAATGCCCGGAGATAGAGAAATAGAGAAGTAAGGCCTCCCCACAACACAGCAATGTGAGAGCTTGGATTCGGTCTGCCTGATTAAGTGAGGCGATGAGCACCTGCGGCGGCTAGCAGCTTATGCGCCGCAGGTCACCAAAGACAGGCACGAATTAACATCAGTAAGGCCTCCCCACAATACAACAATTAGGAGGCTTGGATTCGGTCTGCCTGATTAAGGCGGTAAGCACCAGCAAGCAGCTCGACCAGAGTATGAGCTGCAGGTCACCGAAGATAGGCACGAACCAACACTAATAAGTCTCCCCCACAATACGGCAATGAGAAAGCTTGGATTCGGTCTGCCTGATTAAGGCGGAAAGCGCCAGCAGGCGGCTCGACCAAAGTATGAGC